TGAACTACAGCAAGGTGTTTACACAGTCTACCTCAAAGTGGCATGAACTGCATTTGCATAATAGGGTACGATGCGTGGGTATATAGCGCAAGGCACAACTCCAATAAATGTTGCTGTATCTGAGAAAGAAAGCTGTAAGGTAGGACTAAAATTCAGTTGGTCGAATACAAAGGACGAGCGATCAGTTTCACATCCCTATAGAGGGTCAAATAAAGGCTAACGAAGGGTCTATTAAAGAAGGGGGAGGTCGACATGTGCAAAGAGCAAAATTCTGAAACCTCATGAAAAGGAGAGAAGTTTAGCATGCGTTAATCGTCATCAAGGACATTATACTTGGGAAGGTCAGCAGAGCAGCCCCTATCTCCTCAAAGTGCACTGAGCAGACGACTCTATCCGGCACAGCTGGTCGATAATTGTAACACGGTTCCTTCAGCAGGTTGACCAGTTTCAGCATCTCGGTTCTAACACCTCCAGCGATGGCACCTACCCATCCAGAGCATAATTGTGCTGATTGCCCTAGCATAGGTGCCTCTGGAAACCTTGGCAATATTTGCATTGGGAAAAGAGCCAATGCTCTCACAAAAACTGGCCTGTGCGTTGCCTCTGTCGGTTCAGAGACATTGATACCGTTGTTTTAACAAAGGAACAAGAACAGCGGCTGAATTGTGTACAGCAGCGTTGGCATCGACACAAAAGGAAGGTTAAATGGCAGAGCACGTAAAGAATGACTCTGTTCTCTTGCGGACATAATTTACCTTGGTAGATCAAGAAAAGGACGCTGGCCCTGCTTTCCAAAATCGTTGAGCATATACCGTTTACTCCAGCCTCTGAGCTTCTCGTGTGGGAGCCAAAACACCGCTACCGGGAAGTCAGCATTCAACATGGAGGAACAAAATAGAGGCAGACCTGCTCTCGAAGAAGAATGTTTACTTCTGCGATACAGTAACCGGTTCCTGTTATCAAAGGTGCCGCGAAGACAGGGGGCATCACAAACCAGAGGCATTCTGCTGATGTGAACGTCTGAGGGTGATCTCGGATCTCGGTAAGCAACAATTTCAAACTGCTGTAGGGCAGAATAACTTAGTCGATGACGAAAGGGTAGCAACGTCAGCCGTATGTTACTGTGTGTGTGTGTGTGTGTGTGTGTGTGTGTGTGTGTGTGTGTGTGTGTGTGTGTGTGTGTGTGTGTG